GAGAGAGAGAGGAGAGAGAGAGGAGGGAAGAGCGAGAGAGAAAGAGAGAGAAGAGGGGGGAGAGAGTTTTAATGCTGTAGGTTAGTGGTGCCTGCATGCCACTTTAGACAGCTGCCGAGCCAATTCAGAAGCCCCCAAAACCAGGAGCTCCCTGTTATGCAATTCTAGACTTGAGTTGGGAAAGTCAGGTTCTTGGCCACTCCCACCTACCTTATGTGCCCTACTATTGGTTCCTTGGAGTGTTGAGTGACCTCCATGAATAGTGAACTGTGGGGAGTAGACTAAAACCTGGGGCTCCCATGTTGCTAAAGTAGCAAGTTATTGGTAATTATTTATATATCTCCAGTGAGCGTGGCACTCCACTCCTTACATGCTCAGTCATTTTTATTCCATTGAAGCCAGTACACGGATCAGTACAAAATAAAGACATTTTTGGGAACATCGCCGTTTTTTTGTACTGATCTATGTATCAGGTTCAATAAAAAAAGATTGAGCATGTAAGGAATGCTGCACTTATTGAAATTATAGATTTAACAAGCGGAATGGACCCAAAGCATCCAAATTATTATTATTATTATTATACAGGATTTATATAGCGCCAACAGTGTGCGTGGCGCTTTACAATATAAGGAAGACATTACAATCACAATACAATTCAAGACAAGATGGTAAGGAGGGCCCTGCCCCTGAGGGCTTACAATCTAAAAAGGAGGGGGAAGTGATACATGAGGAGGTAGCTGCGTGGGGATGATTGTTTGAGAACGTGATGGTTCAGTGGTCAGGTTGAGGTGGGATCGGCTTCCTTGAAGAGATGAGTCTGAAGGGATCACCTAAAGGAAGTCAGAGTAGGAGATAGATGGACAGGTTTGGGTAGAGAGTTCCATAGGATGGGAGAGACTCTAGTGAAGTCCTGGAGGCGAGCATGGGAAGAGTTGATGAGGGAGCTGGAAAGCAGGAGGTCTTTGGAAGAGCGGAGCTGACGGTTAGAGTGATACTTTGAGACAAGGGTTGAGATATAGCCGGGGGCAGAGTTGTGGATGGCTTTGTAAGCGATTGTTAATATTTTGAATGTTATCCTTTGGGCTATTTGAAGCCAGTGGAGGGATTGGCAGAGGGGAAGCATATATATATTTGTAATAGCTGTCTGGTTACATATACTGTGTGTGTGTGTGTGTGTGTGTGTGTGTGTGTGTGTGTGTGTGTGTGTAAAAAAAAATGTCATATGCATGCGCGTTCACACTCATTTGTCAGAAATTCTTATGAAGTGGATTGCCCTTTGGTGGTAATATACTCTCCTTGAGACTTTATCCTGTCAATAACAGCACACGATTATCGCAGGCACAGTGCAGTACATTATAGGACTTCTCTTCCCTCTGTCTGGCTCCTTGACGTTCCGGAGTCCCCGGAAAAGGTCACTAGAATTAATTGTCTGCTTTGGTCATCGATTAAAAGGGAAGATGTCACAGATTTAAGAAGAATAATCCAGGCTGGTGGTAAAGTAGCATAAACGGTGCTACGGTCTATTCTCCGTGAGGGAGATGAGATTTGATTTCCTTACGCTATCTGTTTTACCTGATGTGTATATTTGATATGCAAATAATTATTTCATATTAAAAAGTGGGTGCTGCTCCGCTTAACAGTGTGCGATTTCTATTAACGCTCCACGCAGCTGTGAAATGGATACGGTACAGAAACCTGCCAGGGTCTCTCTCGTTTTACAACTCCGGCATCTCTGCACGCTGCTGCTTTGTATGCCGGGAATCTGAGAATACCAGGTACCGAGCCAGAGAATGTGGAGGCCAGGAATCCATAAAGAAGAATTCCGTTGGAGGCTACCCCGCACTGCAAGGGTTAAGTGCTGGTTTCGTCTAGGGTGGCTCAAATAAGTCAGATATACTCCCTGATCCTCGGAAGAAATGTGGTGTTTTCTTATTACATCATTGCAGGTATTTTTGAGTACTACACAATGGTTGCGCCTTTGATGCTCCTTTTCACAATGAATGTCTATAAGACAGATTGAAAACAATGCACTTCATGTGCGGCAGCTATCCGCCAACATTTCTTATGGAGGGAGGAAAAGTGCTTACTCCCTCTAGTGGCTAAAGTACAAACCTCTATACAAAATGAAAGCGTATGCTACTGTTGTGTTGGGGCCACATAGCCTCAGACCGGTCAGGGTGCCCATGCTGACCCGTGTCCACCGCCAAAAGAACCTACAATGGGCACGTGAGCATCAGAACTGGACCACGGAGCAATGGAAGAAGGTGGCCTGGTCTGATGAGTCACGTTTTCTTTTACATCATGTGGATGGCTGGGTGCACATACCTGAGGAAGAGATGGCACCAGGATGCACTATGAGAAGAAGGCAAGCTGCTGGAGGCAGTGTGATGCTTTGGGCAATGTTCTGCTGGGAAACCTCGGGTCCTGCCATTCATGTGGGTGTTACTTTGACATGTTCCACCGACCTAAACATTGTTACTGACCAAGTACACCCTTTCATGGAAACGGTATTCCCTGATGGCTGTGGCCTCTTTCCGCAGGATAATGCGCCCTGCCACACTGCAAAATTGGTTCAAGAATGGTTTGAGGAACACGACAATGAGTTTGAGGTGATGACTTGGCCTCCAAATTCTCCAGATGTCAATCCAATGGAGCATCTGTGGGATGTGCTGGAAAAACAAGTCCGAACCATGGAGGCCGATCACCTCACAACTTACATGACTCAAAGGATCTGCTACTGACGGCTTGGTGCCAGATGCCACAGCATTCCTTCAGAGGTCTAGTGGAGTCCATGCCTCGACGGGTCAGGAAAAGGCGGACCTACTCAATATTAGGGGGGTCATCTAGATACCACAGCATATCTACAGAGGTCTAGTGGAGTCCATGCCTGGACAGGGCAGGAAAAAGTGAACCTACTCAATATTAGGGGGGTGGGGGGGTCATCTAGATACCACAGCATACCTTCAGAGATCTAGTGGACTCCATGCTTTGGCAGGTCAGGAAAAGGGGGACCTA